TTGTGTGTGTAGTCGTGTTGAGAAAGAAAGCTTGAATATAAATGTAGCGCGCTAATCTATTTAACTATATCTTTTACTTAACTATGTCTTTTTCACGAAAAATATGCAACCCGGTAAAATGACTTGTTCTATACGTCTCTTATTGGTTTTTCCAACAATTTTCCAAGAAATTTTCCACTTTCTCGTCGATTACACTCGATTGACCGAACAGTTTTGTATAAGTATCTCATTGTGTCTTTGTTATTATCTTTTCATAATTTTCTAAATTTAAAACTTTGTTCTTAATCTGCTAAGATATTTAAGAAATTCTTAAGCATTAAGTTTGGCATTGAGAGGCTTATCGAAAAGATTTATTGTCGCAGCTTATCAACCGCGCAATTTTTTCTAATCTTTTTTCGGAATTATAATCAACTCAGAGATGACATTGCACGCGATAGTCGCAATTATATTGTAATTTTACACGCATTGTATACCCTGCTATACATGCACACGGCATATGACAGAAATACTTTAATTGTGACAAAATTAATATAATATCTTTTTTCGCGCGCGCATGCGCGTGCGTGCATGCGTGCGTAAATTTTACATTTATGAAATTAAAATTAGTAAAAGAATAAGAAGATACATTTCTCTCTTGTTTCACATATAAAATTTCAATAAACCAAATAATGAGATTATTAGTTATAAAATTTCTATAATGCAAATTTGAGAGAGAGATGGGGAGTGATGAAATACTAATGACCTGGACAAGAGGTTAAAGCATCATATCGATGTAAACTTAACGGAAGGGTTGATCTGCGAGAAAACGAATAGTGGGCTGACCTTTATTCTGTATGAATACATTTCGACTATTATACCTGCATTCTTATATTGAGGATACAAATTTCGTATATAATATAGAGCGCTGCCATTTAGTCACTTTAATCACTTTTTATCACCTTTTTTTTTACAAGCCACTAAAATATTACTATTGTTCAAAATGTCATTAGTCACCTTTCTTTTCCTGAGATGATATAACATTTGTAAAACATTATAACTTGTAAAACACAAGTATAATTCTATTCGTATTTTTGTTGTCTCGTCTGCTAACAATTGCTACTCGTTCACTGTTGCTTACTTGGTACTCGGGTCCGGTGTCTCAGCATCTGATTACTTACAATTAGCACCGCGAACCGAATGCTAAACAAGTGGCGTTGCTGATATGAAAGGTGCGTCTATTTTTATCGCTTAGATGTAAATTGTAAAACAAGGCATAATGACACAACGCTAATAGTATGCTCCGGATGGAACCTATACTAATCATGCTGCCGGAAACAAAAATGCAAAGATGAAAACAATTGCTAAATATACAAAAGAATGTTTGCGTTTGGCCTTTCGCGACCAGCTCGGAGACATTCTTGGTCTGGATAGCCAGAACTATCCACTCAGTACTCAAATCTTTTTGCTTTATCTAGATAATAATAATGTTTAAACTTCTATTTTGTTTGGATGAGTCTTTATTTTATTATATGTAATGAAATGTACTATTTATTTTATTTAATAAAATTGCACCGGAGATTTACTTGTATTTAGTATATCGTTCAATTTCTTGTTTTGTCCTTATTATAAATTTTAAATCATATTGTGAAAAAAATTTGTTAGGTACATTTTTGGCTATCCAAAGGTAAATCCGGAAAAATAAGAGTAAATGTTTTTTTTTCTTTCTTAAATGACTATAATTACTCTAAAAATTTGATAAAAAATGTTACTTTTGATTAGTATTTTAACGCCTAGAAGGTTACTTTTTGTCCCTTTTTCTTCACTTTTTTGTCAAAAAGCAGTCACTATTTCACTTTTTTTGGTCCGATAACTGGGTGGCAGCGCTAATAATACGTTGACTGGCAATTATTTTTTTGCGAAAGCTATTTACAATAATTTGCACTAATTTAGATTAATGTAAGATGTTTATTCTTTTTATCAAGTCCTCTCAAATGAAATTACTGATGCTTACAAAATTTTTGTCAAGATAATTATATTTGAATGAATATTTAAATGTTTCATATCTGTGCTGTTATGGCATTCAACTCAAAGGTTTATACACGTATATATTTTTTAATAATCTTGAATTTTTTAGTGCGTGAATCTGTAATCTGTAATACATAATAAAAACACATAAAACTCTTTTGTCTTTGAAGACAGAATAACAGAAATAGACTATAATTATTAAATTTAACTTTTGATATAATCGGTAATATGTTTAAAAATACTTATTGAGAAAGACATTGGAGAAAAATTCAATATGTTCTTTACCTGCATAATTTGTTACAAAAGAATGACGATGTAAAAAGTATAATATTAATGACTGATCTTTTGTTAGCGAGATAGTACGCGTGTTTTGAAGTCATAACTCAGCTTATTGGACTATTAGCCTCGTTAGCTCTTTTTTTCTTCTCTTCAAGATCCATTTTTAGTATTAGTCTTACGTAGCTAATCAAGTTAAGTGCTTTAATATATGGGCTGAATTTCCTGGGAAATCAGGTTTTTTTTCGTGAGAGATTTATCAGGAAGGCGTGGGCGTTCTTAATTTCCGCGGATGCTTTTATCGCCTTTTATCGGAACAAGCACTAATCACAGTGGCACTTGCATCATCCAAACTTATAACAAGAGTCAAAACGATGCCCATTGATCATTCGACTGTAACAATAAGATTAGTCGAAGTATGCGTCTGATTACTATTGGCCATCCGGTATATTGAATTCTTACATATAAGATATTAAATATTAAACTCTGATAGCTTTAGTATTTAGTTTATAAAAATTGCATGCAGATGTGCGCGCACAATCTCACAAAATACGCAAATCGCAAGCGTTTGAACTAAAATCCTTAATAATTAATCTTTTGTGCGTCATTTTTCGATCGATCGTCAAAGAGTAGAGAATAAAAGTCAAAGAGAAGAAAAAGAACGGTCCAATTGGTCAAGAAGAAAAAGATCTGGGTAAAATCAAAGATTTAGGTAAAAAAATCTTGACAATGGAACATTCAGTAATTCATGGACACTCTGTACATTATTTCAAGAAGAAATAAAAGTTGCACAATGCCATCCATCAGGTGCCGTGACACAAAGCACGCTCAATATATTCATAAAAATTACGGGGAATAAAGGGGAACGAAAAGGGAAATTGTTGCAATTCCCTTACTGCCTAGTAAGCAGTATCAGAGCATTCTGGATTAGTATCGCTATACGGAGGGTAAGAAGAGGGGTGAAGGCAGAGAATGGAAGAGGAGGTGAAGGGTTGGGGGATGGTTGGTCGTCCTTGAGCGGCGGCAGCTTGAGCCCTTCGTAAGGTATGGTAACGTAAGGTGGAGAGGTGTGGTAGGGGATGTTGCAGCACCCCAGTTTTCAATACAACTATCCCGCCTCCTACTTTGCCCCAGTAGTCGTCCATTGAGCACAGTCGCGGTTGTATCAGCCTGTTCCGTCCGTATTCGAAAGAGAGAGAGATAGCAATTGTGTCACGCAAATCAAGATTGACGAAAAGATATAATTAATTGTAACTTTCACGGTGACTTTCACGCCAAATATCGTCACATCATAACTTTTCCCGTGGATTGGTGAATCTAATGTCGAAATCGAAAATCTGTGAATATCTCCTCGGTTGATCGCAATAAAAAGTCGCGATTTCTCGCGTTACTTTACGCTTTTAGCTTAATTCTTTCAATATTCTCAATTCTTGATAAGAAAATTCCATTGTCCATCTTCGATAACTATGAAAGAGCATTAAGAATTGAGATTAAGGATTTGTGTATTGCGATTGAAGATATTGAGAATTGTCATGGCAAGAACGTAACGCGTATAAGCGCAGTGAAATGATGCAAGTTTCTTTAATCATCTGAGGTCGCGATTGTAATCAAAGCAAGATCTCGTTCGATCTTATCATCTTTTTACAAAACACATTTGTCGTGACGCATTTGTTTAATGTCTCTTTGTTCAGTTCTTTCCAAAACATCCGTAACGGGAATTTATTCCTTTTCAATGCTCGTGGAAAATCGTTGGGGATTGATGTCAAAATAGATTCGATTAAAGATATAGAAATACGTATTTTCAAGAAAAACTGATACCACAGAGGACAAACTGTGAAATGCCAGTTTTTTCGGGTCGTATGAGTTCGCGTATCGTACATTCGACATATTTAATGTGGCAAAAGTGAAGTGAATCTTCAAAGGTTGCAAGGGGTCAATTGAGATTCACAATTGAGTCTGCAAGTTTGTCTTCGTCCCGATCGGACGAAAATTCGGAACCGGATTTTGACCCTAGGCGAGAAATAGAGAACTCCTGCAGTGACTCGGAGATCGAATATCACAGTCAAGACTTGAGCTGCTGGACAGATAGTTTCGTCGTGTTAATGAGCGATTCCTTTGAAGTGATATCGCTGCCGGCCGACATGATGCAGGTTTTCTCAATATTTATGCGATACGGCGACATTTCATATTAAATTCATATTCGAAATATATCCCGAAACAAAACTCAGAGATTTGGATCTAAACGTATATATAACATCCAGATATAGGTAATATAAGAAAGAATGTAATGTGAGAAAGAAGTAATGAGACAAATATTGTAAATATTTTATAATTTTGTACTTTTTCTCTCTTACATTTTTTTAAATTAAGGATTTAAAATCGAGACGGGATGAGATACGATGGGAAAATACGTCAAGGCTAAATTTGCCTTATTCTATCGAATTTCTTTCAAAATGTCATATAATATAAAATATGTTAAAGGAGATAATTAAAGTGATAACCATAGTGAAATATAGTGAAATAAATAATAATAATAGATGTATGTTATATATAGTGTATTAAAATAGCTTAAAAGCATTGAAATATGTTTGGTAGATTTAAATAATAATTTTAGCACACCTCGCGGATGTCTCTATCGCTGTATATAGATATAACTCACGGAAAGTATAAAACGCGTGAATAAACTAATGACAATAATAATTTTAAATCTTCCACGATAGCCGGCCAGCTACGGGAAGAAGAACAACACCTGGTACACTACCCCAGCAGGCGGTGGAGGTAGTAGGAGCGGTACCACCGGGACCGGAAGTGGGGTTGGAGGGTGGCAAAGTAGACCGCCAGCGGTACCGAGTCTTAGCCGGAAAGCCTCCATCACTGAAGAAGCGCCACCCCCTGGGGGCGGAAAGCCCTCTTCGGGCCGTGTCATTCGTATCGTTAATAACCACGACCATACTGTTCAGGTAGGCGGTAACAACCGAAAGTTGTTACTTTATTACATTCGAGATCTATATTAATTTACGCATTAATTTCTCTCTCTCTTTTTCTCTTTTAAAAATAATATAGAAACTGATGACAATTTAACACGCGGTTAGAGACGTTTAAGAGTAATAATTTCGAAACATTTCATTACGTGGCAGCATCTCTGTAAAAAGTTATCGACCATATCCCATTATGCCTTATGCCCCGTGCCTGGTCCTGTTATGACCCGGGCCTACATTTTCCCCTACATTTTTTATAAGGATAATTTTAACCATCTCTTTTCAATTATTCGTTTTATTTAAATTGAGAAGCTGCAGTAGTTGATAGTTTCACATTTTTCGAAATAATTTAATTATTTTACTTGATATTTAAATAGTTAAAATTTCTTTGTCGTTACATTTGTTAACGTAATCAAGGACATACAAAAATCTAATCTAGTTTAAAATAATCTTATTTTGTCGTCAGTGCCGAGTTCTATTAAATCTTCGTACATCGCAACCCTTCGAAGAAGTTTTAGAAGATCTTGGACAAGTGTTGAAAATGAATGGGGCTAAGAGGATGTTCACTGTTTCAGGACAAGAGGTTAGTATTATCACTAAAATTTATATACAATATGAATTAAAATTAAAGAACAATACTAAAAGCTTGGCAAAATTATTTTTCTACCAAATTTTTAAAATTTTTTATTCCTTTTTGCGCGCCAAAGAAAAAAATTGGAATTTATTCTAATTTTTCATAAACTAGATTTTATTGAATAAAATTAATTTGTAAATCTATTAAATTCTTACATTTATATATGCAACGCTAAAATGTCGTTTTACGGTCAACATATTTAGAAAAAATCTGGAAAAGAGTGCGTGATTTGAAAGTATAAAAAAGAAAAAGGACATATGTAAATCTGAGATATCAGCATTGTACTTGTAAAATCGACTTGTGAGAGCGACGTTAACCATAAATATGCATGCCGCGCCACGGGAAGAGGCAGCACGAGGGTAAAACTCGAAGCATGACGATAAACGGGGTCGGCCCTCGTTCGAGATCCTGCGAAATGAAGTTTTTGTTTGTACGTCCCATAAGTTGCCTTAAAAAGAAATTTCGTTATTATTGTATTCGAGAATCCTAATTCTATATACATACACGTTTCAAATAAGATTGTACGAAGGAAGTATCATTATATACTATATACATATATTCGGTATCATATTTCCACATATATTTACATATAACATTTCTTTGAAAGAAATTGTAAGGTAAGAGTTTTCCGGTAATTGGGTATTACATATATATTGCATTAAAACGACACGATTTTTTTACAAAAGTTTATTCTTTAATTTTTGCGCTTTTTCGAGCTATTGTAAATTTGGGAAAAGTTTAAACACACACACATATATGTATTTTAAATAGGATTTTTAGAAATGTAGAAAGTTCTGTTCAAAGGATAAATTTCATTAAAGAAGATAACAAAAATTCTGCCTGCGACACTTTGGCTACAGGGCATACCTATTCGATGTGTAACGTGCGATATATGTGATCGTCGTACTTTACTTGAAGCCTTCACATCGCCAATTACGTTCTCGCGCTCTAAAAGCTGTCTTATACGCTATTCTTATGTGACGCATACTTGCTATACTATTAATATTGAACTGTATCGTTCAAGAATGTACGACGAATGGAGTCGAAAAAGGAAAAGCGCAACATCGAGTACCGCGACGCCGGCTTGAATTTTTGACATTGTAATAAATTACACGGTTATATATTTCTCACAGGAGGTGGTCGTGATGTAAGTGGGACGAACATGCTCTCACGTGTGTGTGTGTAAAAAGGTCAGAGATTCATCTTTTTAGGTCACGATCGTGATGAATTTCAAATGGGCCAATTTTCTTCGCCAAATAACACGTCATCGACCCCTCTCTCTCTCTCTCTCTCTCTCTCTCTTTCTCTCTCTCTCTCTTTCGCCTTCTCTCTTGTAAAATTATTGTCACAAGGGGAGAAAAAATGGCGAATAAAAAATAATTGACATTTTTTGGTCCAATTGAACAACGTAAAGTATAACATGCCGCTTGTAATTAAAATATTTAATTGTAAGAACTTATTATTCATTTATATTTATATAAATATGAATGTCTCGCAAAAAAATCAAAATATAATCAATTCGTAAAAGATTTCATTTTAATGCGATATATAATACTCTTATTGCGATCATCGAAAGATATTTATTTTATAGTACAAGTAGTCTTAAGAGGTAATTAATAAAAGTGAAACTTTTAGAATTCGTTATTCTATGCGGAACGAATTTACAAGATGTGAAGAGAATGAAGAACATATATATCTAGAATTCACAAATCATTTTTTTTATAGTTTATTATAATATTTATAATAGATATTCTCTAAAATATCCAGCAAACGAAATTTTTCTATATAATATGCCACCAGGTGAGAAGTTTCTCGCAATTGAGAAACGAATTCGCTGATGTGGATACATTTTATTTGGGTACCGGATCGGCTGTCGTTATGGCCGGTGGCGTTGTAGCATCTCCGGTACGAAGGTCAAGGTCACGTGGACCATCCACCGTCGTGGAAGAAGTTAGTCGTCAGAGAAGGGCTCGCAGCAAGAGCAGACCAAGAGCCTTGTATGCTCCTGACTCCGAAGTTGTTCGAGTAAACGGTAAAAATAGTCAACGATCAGTTCTGACTGTTTTAAATAATCTCATCACTAGTCTATATATATATTAAGTTCTTAAGTTTGACTTTCAATCTCGAATCTCTTTCTTCTCGTAAAAAACATATTTCAAGATTAAGAACTCGTCATATCTCGTTGGCAGATTATAGCGTCGTAGAAGTGCTACGCGAGGAACCGGCCAGAGTGACAATCAGAGGACTCAGACGATCGTTTTATCCTCCCTCTCATCTGCCTCCAGTCGATAATTCGCCGCCTGAGAAGAAGCTGCAACTTGAATGGGTCTACGGTTATCGAGGGACCGATACTCGCAAAAATCTTTGGGTTTTACCCAGTGGCGAATTATTGTATTATGTCGCGGCTGTGGCGATACTTTTCGATCGAGAAGAGAATGCGCAACGACATTATATTGGGCACACGGAGGATATTATGTGTATGGAGGTAAGTATTATAATGTTTTCCGTTCGAAAAAGTGAGGACAAAGCAAAATGGGGATCAAACATCGAACTCCCAAAAGTATCGTGTATAGTAGATTTGCGTAGGTATATAGTAGAATTGGCTGCACTAGTTCAGCAATAGAAAACAGACCCCGTGTGTGTCAATCGAGACAATATTTGGTACTTCCGTATCTCACAAAGATTGAGTGTTTCTCTTTTTATTATTAATAAAAAAAATAAATTATTTATTATCATTGAGGTCAAAGATACTCAAAATGTAATTTATATGTAACTTGAGCACCATCAGAAGCAAAATACCTCCATTTCAGGTTCATCCTAGCAGGGAACTCGTCGCGTCCGGTCAAAAGGCGGGCAGGCATAGGAAGGCACAGCCGCATGTTCGTATATGGTCAACGGAGACTCTTCTCACCCTTTACGTGTTTGGCATGACCGAATTTCAAATGGGCGTCTCAGCATTAGCATTTTCACAACTGGTAACTATATTTAATTTGGCTAAAGGTAATTTCTACGAAAGTATTTATTGTGTTTGTTGAAAAGAAATGAAGGACAAGTTGCAAATATTGTGCAATGTTCCAACTACTGCACTCAACGATTGACAATTACAAGTAATAATAAGTTGACAAATATTATATGCATGGAGACTTTTAGTTATTTGATATTATTATAGAATGGCGGTAGTTACGTACTTGCCGTGGATTCTGGAAGGGAAGCTATACTTTCGGTATGGCAATGGCAGTGGGGTCACTTATTAGGGAAAGTAGCGGTAAGTTGTTTCATTTTTCCTTTTTCGTGCACAGTATTAGTATCATAGTCCATAATAAAAGATAATTTCCTAATAATAATATTCGTGAGATTTTTAATTAATAATTTATTAATGTATTAATTTGATACTTTTAAGAAGAAAAGAATATACAAGCCATACATTTTGAATATTACCAGTATTTTATCATGCATAAAATCACACACACACACGCGCACTCTCTCTCTCTCTCTCTCAATCATCGTATTTTTCATTAATTTATATATATGTATATGTATGTTTGTTGGAAAATTATACTACAATACGTATTGCACGTACGATTTATTTAGACTATGCAAGAAGATCTGACGGGTGCGGCATTTCATCCACTGGATGATAATCTCTTAATTACACATGGGCGTGGTCATTTGACATTCTGGAATCGGCGAAAAGACGGTTTCTTCGAGCGAACTGACATCATCAAGCCGGTAAGTATTCGAGTATAATCTGCAATTAAATTATATTCTGGTAGCTTTTAATATTTTGTATAACGTACATGTATAATTTTTATTGCAATTTGTAATGTCTAATTTTTACTTTAGAAGTGATTCGACTTACACTTTCAGCCATCCCGTACACACGTGACGAGCATCCAATTCGAACAGGATGGCGACGTCGTTACGGCGGACAGCGATGGTTTCATCACGGTGTATTCGGTGGACGCGGACGGGGCATATTTTGTACGAATGGAATTCGAAGCGCACAACAAAGGCATTAGCTCCCTCGTTATGTTATCGGAAGGCACACTCCTTTCCGGCGGCGAAAAAGATAGGAAAATAGCCGCTTGGGACTCATTGCAGAATTACAAACGCATCACCGACACAAAGGTTGAACGTTTTAAATAATTTAATTTGGTCGGTGACAACGACAACGGCACGCCTTTGGGCTGGCTATTATATTGACTGGCTATCGGATAACTTTAACCCTTTGCTTTTAATGCCTTTCTTTTCGGATCGCGTAATTATTATTATATGTATAGGTAACGAAATAGAAATGCGAAAAGCCTAAATCGCTTATCGTAATTAGGAAAGGAAGATGGAGACAAGCGATTTGTAAAAATAATATTTCAATTCTAATTTCGATTAATTAATTGTTTTTTGCCTAAAGCCAATTACGTCAATAATTTAGAATTTAGATCGAAACTATACGGTGATAGCATGACAAGCAAGTTCACTCGAGCGAAACTAATCTTACGTGTTGTAGCTGCCAGAATCGGTAGGCGGAGTCCGTAGTATATATCCGCAACGTCCCGGACGGAATGATGGAAACATTTATGTGGGAACCACGCGGAACAACATCCTCGAAGGTTCTCTGCAAAGAAGATTCAACCAAGTCGTATTCGGCCATGGCAGACAATTGTGGGGTTTGGCGGTTCATCCTGACGACGAGGTCTTTGCCACCGCGGGACATGACAAGAATATTGCTCTCTGGCGGAGACACAAGCTATTGTGGACTACCCAGGTAAATTTCAGGAGGGAGGGAGGGGGAGAGAGAGAGAGAGGGGGGATTTTTAGATGTTGATTATAAATGTAAGCATTATATATTTTCATGTTATGGGTTATAGGTGGGTTTCGAGTGTATATGCATAGCCTTCCATCCATTTGGCGTGGCGTTAGCGGCGGGATCGTCGGAGGGTCATCTTCTCGTACTCGCGGCTGATACCGGTGCAGCCGTGGCGACCCTGAGAGTGTGTGGATCACCGCTGTCTTGCATCGGATACAATCCTAGTATGACACGAGCTTACTTGCTGAATATTATACAAATTGAAATTAGCCGTAACTAATTTGAAAAAACAAAAGAACAACAATTGAACAATTTTAATCAAACAGCTTTCACTTTGCTTTCAACAGCTTTTGACGCGTTATTACATTGTCAATGATTTATATTATTAACAGCTAATGTTTTTAAATCTGTTCAATCTTTTTATTAAGGTAGATAGTTATCTCTTGTCGTTATGCACTTGCGATATAACGATAACTCGTAATAAATTTTAAATGTTTTCTAGTACTTGTACTTTGTTATTATATATATAATAATAATTACGTATATATATATATATATATATATATATATATATATATATATATATATGTCTCTTTGTGAAAATAGTTTCGATATTTTTTTTCTGTCTGATCAGCTGGAGAAATTGTGGCCATGGGTTCTCAAAATGGCAGTGTGTATCTCTTTAGAGTGTCCAGGGATGGATTTTCATATAAAAAAAGCAACAAGATCCGCGGAACGCAACCATTGATGCAGCTCGATTGGAGTTCCGACAGTCGCTTTCTTCAAACCGTGACTCAAGATTATGATCTCTTATTTTGTAAGTCTCACCTTAATCTCGCTTGGTTAATCTTGATTTACCATAAAGATTTGAACTGAATGTTTGGAATTTGCGTAACTGTTTAAGGCCGCCAATATAGTGAATAAAAAAGTTTTCAACTTTTATGAACTTTATTTTATTAACTTTTATTAACTATTTTTAATAAACTACCATATTATCCCTGGTGAAAAAATTTCTCATATTTTGTCGGAAATTTTGTAAGAATTGAGACTTGTGAAAAATTCAGAAAAAGTATATATTTCTCAGAAATATACTTTCAAAAATAATCGGATGAGGATTTTCGGAATATTTCAGTATCAGTATCAGTATGTATGAAAATTTCTGATAAATTGCACAGATTTCTTATATATTTAGATTTTTACAGAGATGTATTGGCGGGGAAAAATTTGAGATATTTTTTATTATTTTGTCTGAGTTTTTCTGGGAAAAACGTTGTAATTCGTATAAGAAAATTTGAAAAATTCTGAGCATTCTGAGAAAGTATGAAAATTTCTATAAAAATTCTGATTAATAATATGAAAAATTCTGACATTTTTCGATCAGGGATTATTTTTACATAATATAACGTGTGTTAATTGACACAAATGCAACAATTACAACAAATGCGAATTAAAAAATTAATTGGCCACGTCAGATTAGCAAGAAGATTAAGAAGAAAATTTTTAACAAAAGACTCGGATAATCGACAAGTTACTTGGCGTATAATCAATATATAAATTCAAGTATATTTGCTTCTAGGGGACGTCAAGGTGTTGTCGTCGGAAAAGAGTCCATTGGTTATGAAAGATGTCAAGTGGTACACCCACAACTGTACCGTTGGTTACATGACTTCTGGTTAGTTTCTTATTAGTCACTATGAAGATAAGAAATAATTCTAACTCACTAACGATCGCGAAATCGATTGTATAAGCGAGATTTTTACGATTGTGTATTTGCAGGGCAATGGAACAACCGCTATTATCCATTGACTACAGTTGTCACCACTTCCAGTAGATCAGCTGCACATGATATGCTGGTAAGCGGCGATGCCGAAGGGTATCTTCGACTCTTCAGATATCCATGTACCAGCGCCAAAGCTGAATATGTCGAGGAAAAGGTGTACAGCTCGTTGGTGGCTTGCGCCAGGTTCCTCTACAACGACCAGAATGTCGTCACCGTCGGCGGCACCGACGCTGCCTTGATGCTCTGGGAATTGGTCGACGAATAAAAAGATACAAGTCGCTAAAACACCTGACTTATTGTCCAGTAGGTCGTAGCGATAAATAAAGTGGGGCGCTGGCGCCTTTTAGTAGATTTTAAGCGATAACTGGGACTCTTTTGAAAGTCCTTTGGTGACGTTCGCATGAAAATGCCCATCAAATAGCATAAAAAATGTAAATACGTGGAGGAATGGTTTTTCACAAATTAAACAATTGTTTTTCCAATTTTAATTATAGAATCTTTAATTCGACATCAGCTCATTTTGCGCATTTCAGACCATTTCAGACATTGATTACGCATTTTAACACAACACAAGAGGATCTATCCATCTAGTTCCATTATGACATATACGATCTATTCGATTCGCACTTGATTTCAATTTGTTGCTTCAACATACAGGATATTTTATTACGTATTACGTATTTAATTAGAGGCAACTTCGAGGATGGACTTGGCACTGAAAAAAATAACAAAATTGTATCATATACAGTATACATATACATCTAGATTTTATGGTTCACATTATCAATATTGTGATTACTTTTGTGATAACATACTTTTGTTTACTTACCCGTTTACTTAATTCTTAATTACCGCTCGTATTTTATTGTTTCTTGATTCAGTATAAATCAATGATAACCGTGTTTACGGAACATTTTATATGTATATTACTTAATATCTAATTTATTTTATTTTACAATGCATAAAGAGATAATTAACTTCGCTGACCACTATTTAATTTTATCTTGTTATTTTCATTTTTCGTTATTAGTCTTCTGACAAGAGATTTTTCAGTTCGTTTTCTCGATACGATCGATAATAAAACGACAAGACTAATACCATCTCCATTTTTTCCACAATATCTATTGAATCACATGAAAAATAGCTGGCCACTCAAAAATAAGGTCATAGGTACATTTTTATATAAATTTTAATTGTTTTCAATCCTAAAATTCATTCTCATATTACATGAAACGTAGCGTTATATGTATATGAACCAAGTTATTAATTGTACGATTGCGAGACGAGCCAATAATTAATTAAAAGATATCCGTGAGTCGATAAAGCTGAAATGGGTTGAAGTGAGAAACCTCGCGGGAGTTACTTGCGATGTCATAAAGATGTAGCTGTGACGAATTAACGTGTGCGTATCATTTAGGGATACTCGCTAGCCGTTTGAGCTTCACTGACAATGAAATTAAATTTAAGTTATCGTTACAATTCCAATCCAGGGAGGGAAAAAATGCACTCGTTCCTTAGGTTCACTCCTTAATTAGTTGCACAATATCCAAAGCGAGATATGTGTCTAGCAGGTATATAATCACAGAGTCGTGCGAGTCGTGATGTTTTAAATTTAAAAAATTATTTTGGATGGAGTACCGGTAAACGATCAAGAGCTGCAGAGGCGGCAAAGTAAAAGGAGAAATTTGGCTATAGAGTAACGAACAGGCATATTTACCACTGCCAGAAGATTCAGATTCCTGCTGCTACTGGAAGGAACAGGAAGGAAGAGAAAGAAGAAGGGAGAGACGAAATAGAAAAAGCGCGTAAAGGATAAGCCTATCGTCAATGGCTTAAGGTCTGTTCTTTCTTAGCAGCGCTGTATTATAATAAATATACTTTCTCTATGTTGAAAATAAAAAAATTTTAAAAGAGCGCAACAAAAGTATGTACATTGCAGTTAATTGTAAGAGAAACAGACCTTTCGTCAAAATGGAGCGTTCAATAGCGCGATTTAAAAGTGGCAAAGTCCATCTTATTCAAACGGACGTAACTGAAATACGCACAGAGAGATCAACCAATTACATTTATTTTACAATACATATTATTCTAATGCATGCAAAACACAACGTTGTGTTATGCATTATGTAGATTGTAGGTGATTGATCGATTTCTCTGTAGATATCATATAATATGTGCGACGTACGCGTGAATTTACGTACGTTACGTTACGGTCAATATGCCACGCGCCATTCGTCGTTCCAAGTCACTAACACAATAAGTCATTATAATATATATAACCAATAGTATTATATGTATGTAGTGTGTAGTAGTAGTAGTAGCAGTAGTAGTAGTAGTTTACAAGTGTTTAGTAGGTATTATAGTTTACAAGAACGTATAATATATAAACGTGTAACGTGTAAGGATTTCACGAGGAGGTCAACTTTGTTGCAGGTCAACGCTCCTCTCTTACCAGCCAATTATTCTTATTCGCACACTTTTCGATTCGAGAGAAATGGAAAAAAGGAGAGATTTTTTTTCATATTCACGCAGTAGAGTCGACACGTAGTGAGAATTTAAGCGGTTAGGATCAGGTCACTGCCAAGGCGTCGCGTCGCGAGTTTAAAAGGTTCTAACGATCGTAACGAGTTACGAGAGTAACTTTCTTCGCGCCATGTAAAATCCATGTCACACATTATTTATCATACATGTATTCGAGATCAAGAGTAAAAATCTATCCGGACATAACGATGGAGAGGATGGGCATAGCCGCCGCGCGTAATGCGTAGGCATACAGAATAAATTGTCTGAAAGATATTTTAAGAATGCTTGATAGAGCGTTAAAAAAGATTAACGCTGTCGATCATCTTAAATTTGTACTAAACGCGTAATTTTTTACGCACATTATTTATATTAATTATATGTATGTATTATGAGAACGATAGTATATATATATGTATAGGAAGTTTAGTGATTCGAATGATCGACTCCGAATTGATTTGGAGGCCAGTGAAAGAGTACGTCGTACGTCCAGACTCCAGAATAAATAAATGTATGTGTGTATGTACAGTGGAGAACAAAAATACTGATTAAGGACGCCGGTGGTTGCTCAAATCAATTTGATAAGAATTAGTTCAATTATGGAGAGAATATTCGTCTAATTCGAAATCTGTCGTCCATGCTAAAGTTGAAGGCAATAGTCTGTATGGTTGTCGAGTGATTAATTATTCAAGTTACACTTATTGCCCATTTATCAGGACCGACCGGGCCGACTCAAATATATGCACTCCGTGCTCGATAGTTTTACGCGAAACAGCTACAAAATGTTGTTTTATTTGTACAATTTTATTTTTAATATGCTTTCGAGAGTTACATTACAGGTGTCGTAACATTTTTGCTATCATATCGCCCGTGTGTAAGAGAGAGATAAGAGTATGACTTGAATAATTATAATTACTCGACAACCATGCAAACAATTGTTTTCAACTTTGGCATGGACGACAGATTCCCATAGACGAATATCCTCCATATATTTGAGCTAATTCTTATTATATTGATTTGAGCAACCACCCTCCTTAAAGCGAGATTAAAATGTAATTGCATCGAGCTTCTTCTCCTTCGCCGTTATAGCGGCCAACTAATCGCTGAAAGATGCTGGATAAAGGAAACCTACAGAGAAAGAGAGATAGAGAGAGAGAAGCTTAATGTAAATATAATTCAATCTCGCTACACTTGAACCATTGAATGCTTTTGTTCTCGATTGTACAAACAGGTTCGGTGCATCGCCTGCACAAATGCAACTGCAAGAAAATTAATTTAGGTAAGAAACGTAGCGATATATATTATTCTTCTCTCTTTAAATCGTTCTGATGTTACATGAAACATTATTTTAGTGATTATATAGGAGAAATATTCCTAAGTATTCCCTTCCTATATAAATATCTGAGATTCGCCCGAAAAATATTTTTCGGTCTCTTGTGACAGATATATATCGATGTAGTATAATAAGAATAGCAAGCACCTACGTATACTTTTTATGGATTTTATGTTATGTACATTTTATGCGCGCACGCGTGTGTGTGTGCGTGTGTGTGTGTGTGTGTATGTACACATATATAATGTAGATAAAATTGTGCGCGCGTGTTTTAATATTGTACCTCAATGAATAATAATATTAATATTAATAATAACAATGATGACAACAGTAACAATAAAAATAAAATAATGATCAATAAAATGATCAACTGTATGGTACATGATGCTCTGGTGAAAAAATTTCTTATATTTTCTCAAAAATTTTGTAAAAATTAAGACAAAACATTCTGAAAAAATATATAAAATTTCTCAGATATACTTTCAGAAATAATTACATGAGGATTTTCGTAATATTTATTTAGTATCCGTATATGTTTAATGAAAATTTTTGATAAATTACACAGATTTACAAATAAGATGTGTTGGCGGAAAAAGTCTGAAATAAAATATTTTAATATTTTGTTCGTTAAGTTTTTCTGAAAAACGTTCCAATTCGTATAAAAAATCGGAAAAATTCTGAGCATTCTGAGAGTCTGAAAATTTTTATAGAAATTCTAATTAATAATTTGAAAACTTCTGGGACATTTTTCCACCAGTGATGCTAATCGATGAAACGCGACGGATGCTTGACAAATTTATTATAATTTACTATAATTATGTGTCTTGCATATAAAGATGCGGTAAGAAGCGACATGGTATATAATAGATTATTTCATGCCATCTACTTTTTATCATGTTTTATTTTTTGTTTCTTTATTACGGCCAAAAGGTCCACTCACAAGCACTTCAATTATATTAAACTCCTTTACATATCTCTCTCTCTTTCTATCTCTTTGTCCCCCTCTCCCTCCCTCCCCTCTCTGGTTTTAAGGGTTTCAAATCTATAAATAAATATAACAGCCTTACAGTTAACAATAAATCTACTGTCCGTTTTAGTTACATTTTTTACACTTTCTGTACTCAGAGCAAAATGTATCTATTAGCTCGGTCGTATTTCTTACATATGACTTTTATGCAAATTTATACACGGCTCTTTATGACTGGATATAAAACATGAGCAAAAAAAAAAAAAGAAAAAAACGAACGAAGCTTTCGATCGATCCAACTCTAACATACTATAATAATAATATTTAAATTTGTTTGTTGTGTTTTTTTTATTTAATACTTTCATTCTTTTTTTCCTATGCAAATAGAACGAAGAAGAGAAGGAAAAGCAGCGAACGAACCCTTGATCAACCTAATATATATATATATTTTTTTTTATTTAATAAATTTCTAACCTTAATACAAATATAACTACTTATAAATATATATTTATTAACATAATACGTTCGTTCGTTATTTTCCTATACGATTCTTACACTAATAAAATTAAGGAAAAACAGAAAATTATTCTTTTTTGATTGAACATATATAGATATATACACACATGATACCAAATTCAGACTGTATTTAATACTCGATTGCGCATTGGAGGTCCAAAAGAAAAAGCCTCGCGCAATGATCTTATCTCTCTCTTATACTACGTTTACGCGAGCGTTATTTCTGTAGTAACTTACGATAATTCCTTCACTTAAACGGCATTTTGTAGTAATTTACGATAATTTATAATTTACTCCGCGTAAACGAGTGAATTATCTTAAGTTACTACAGAAGTAACGCTCGCGTAAAGAATTAGCATAGCATGCATTAAAAAAGTGAACAGCTCTGCATTTCGTTTGTGGATGAAACGAACTACAAAGAAAAATCGTCAAACTGGTTGACATTCTCTTTAACGTTCTCCTTCTCTACATCTTTCTATACGATAATAATGAGAATATACAAATGCGCAGTTTAGTATTATTAAAGTTCAGTAATGACATTCAATGCAGCGTAATGATTTTGATCATTTTTTTCATTAAACGTAGCGATATATGTGGGGAATATTATGAGCATGAAGTTTTTAACGTGCTTTGACGCAGAGAAAACATTATAGAATGTTATAAAGGATAAGTAGATAAAATAATATTGCTGAAGTACTTAAATTCGTAATACATGTAAAAGACTTCAATAAAGAATTTGAATTTCAGAAACCAACACAGGATCTAAATCGCTTGCTTTAATTGAGCTACGAACTATCATATCTTATATCTTCTATTCAATAATATCGAGCGCGCGCGCGCACAATAATTTTATCATCTCGAATCATAATATCATGTAATGTCTAATGTCTACTGAAGAGGAAAAAAGGTTATTTCTGTATGTGTGTGTAAAAATATCTAGCTAAAATTTTTAGAAAACACATTTTTCTATTAAATATCAAATCTCAGACTGAATTGCCCATTAAATCGATCATAAAGTTTGTTTCTAACATACAATTTTTATACCTAATAATCTTATGGTTACCAAAATTAAATAAAATACAAAATAAAAAAGAAACAAACTTTTTGCTCAATCTATACAAGATTCATATTGGAGGGAGGGGAAGGGGACAGAGAGAGAAAGAGAGAGGAGGAAGAGGGGGAGAGAGAGAGAATAACAAAGAGTGCAGAATACTAATTAAGATAAACAGACTTTATATCATAAGAATCGAATGAAATGTAACCTAAACTAATCTAATTTAACTCTAGTATTACACAAATTTACAACCTTTTATAATTTATAGATTCAACCATCGCTGCTTCACATCCTCTACAAGTTTTTTACTTTATATAATTTAGCTAGAATCCGGTATAATTCCGATGATAGGAATTAGTTTTAGATGCTGCAGGTGCTAAAAACGATCCTTGTTACTATCAATTCTAAGAATGAAATTTTCATAATGAAGGCGCGCGCTGCACCCTTAACACATCAATTGAATTTCTCTTTGTATCTATAAAAGAAGAAAAAGAAGAAAAAAAAGAAAGAAGAAAAGAAAATATCTAAAATAGAGAAATTGAAGTGATTGAATCTAATGCATGCTAATTCTTCAAGTGTTATTCCTTTTTTTTCTTTTAACATTCGTTGGTCACATATTTCTTGAATTGGTATTTTTTGTTTTTGCGAATAAATCATAAATCTTATCTTTGCAACAAATTGGCGAAAAATTAATAATATTGAAAAAGATAAAAATCAAGTTAAACGTGAGAGTAATTTACAACTAAATTATGGGAAAAAACAAAGCTTCCTCTATGAGGAAGCAAAACGTCTTAAATTTTTCAGAAGAAATATAAGGAACGTATATAATTTCAAGTTTACTTCAATTTCCCGTGCTATAGATGTGCGAAAATATGCCGTTTCTTTCTTTAATTTATTAATACTTTAATTTTCTTCTTTTTCTTTTCGTTTCTTCTTTTTTTCCTTTTTTCTCTTGCTCCTCCTCTTCTCGACTTTCCTCGTCTTTCCGTTCTAGTCTTGTTCTAAATTTATTAATCTTAATTTTCTTATTTTCCTCTTCCTCTCCTTTTTCTTTTCTTTTCCAATTTTTTCCTTCCTTGTTCCATCATTTATAAATTTTCTTCTTTCTCTTCTTTTATCCTCGATATTTCTGAAGGCTGACTATCCAAAGGTTGACTATCGCTATTGCGGCTTGGAGTATCATAGCTCGGCGTTGCACTGGGTGCGTAAACGTTCGCCAGTTGTTCATATTGATTCAAATCTCCACTGTGTTGACTGATCTCCGACATATTGCCTCTATTGATATTTTCTTTCGGAAATAATTCCTGCTCGTACTTCATTCTCTCCATGTCGCGGATCTCTTCCTGATCTCTTCTCGTCATTCTCTCTTGGCGATTCTGCACCGTATCGCTCGTATCGCTCGTAACGTTATCGTCGGCTCGTTCGGTAATAGTGGAAGGAGGGCCACCAGCCTTGGTGAAGAGATGTATAGGTCGTTGGAATCCTTTGGAGGGGTGAGGCGATATAGAGACAACTTCGCACTTGCAAAAGCCAACGGTAGATAGAAGATACTGCGTGAAATTATGCGGCCGGAACTCAATACTGTGATAATTTTTATAAATCCGTTCCTGAAAGATAGAAATGAAATAGAATCAAATCAAATATCAAATCAGAAATAATACATTTAAAAAAGCAATATATTTTTTAAATAGTAGTATATTATTAAATAGTAGTATACTATTCATGTTTGAAACTTGTCCCAAAAATAATGTTTTAACAATCGCACAAAGCATTGCTCACCGTGAGATTCTTTTTCTTCGTATAACTGGCCCAACCCTGAGGTTCCAGTACGAGAACTCCACCGGGGCGTAATTGCGCATGCATGCGCTTGAAAGCTTGTTTTAATCCGGTATCGCCAAAATTTAAGTGAATCCACTTGGTGATGGATAAACATAAGATTGTGTCGAATTGCGTCTGTTCCGCGCATAGAAGTGAGTCGTTTTCAAGCACATAATTACCCTGAAATCAAGCATGTTTAATATAGTTTAGATCATGAGATGACTATAATGAAAATGTTAATTTAGTTGCAACAACTATGTATATATGTATAAATTCTGCGCGCGCGCGCGCGCGTGTGTGTGTACACGTGTAGAATTAAATGCGTTACCTGTACAAAAGTAACATTATATGGGAATCCCTTATGTTGTTTATTTTTTGTAAATCCTGGGATATCTACAGGCCCATAACTAATTGGCATCGACATGGGAAAGAAGCTAGCGTCTGAAGAGTCCCTCTTGTCATTATCCTCATTGCTCGCTGGACTTTGCACGCAATTAACATAGTGTTTCACATTCTTCCGAGCGATATTTATTAAAGTTCTATCAATATCAATCCCGGTAACACTCTTTGCACCAAAATCCCTGGCAACTGATAGAGTAATATGGCCAATATTGCATCCAATATCCAGAATGTCCTTCAGCAGGAATAGTTGCTTTCGCTGTGCAAACACTTTTAATCTAGGATCTACTTCATGATGAGGATTTCTGTACCCATAGTATCTATTGTAGTTCCCATATTGATATCTAGCATCTTTAGGCCTAAAATTGGGCATTGGATGTTGCTGCTTCTTTTTCTTATCCTGGCTGGGCCTATGTTGGGGCCTGGGCTTCCATGCGCCAGGCTGTGGAATCACTGGGCTCACTATTTTATCCTTTGCATCAATTTTTCTCAATCTTTTATCCTTTATTTCTTCTAAACCCTTTAATCGTAATTTATTTTTATCTTTCTGTGGACTTTCTGTCTTATTTTCTTTTAGACAATTTTCACTTTGTCCACTTGGCGCTTCTTCTAAACTAATTTTTTCACCAGAAAGTCTTTCTATTGGAGATTCATCTACTGTGCAGTTTCCTTCAATTTCTCTCGATTTTTTTGCTTCGTTGGAATCCGTCTTTTCATAATTCTAAAAAATATATAATATACATATATATTATCATACACGTGTGTGTAATTACAAGAGAGATAATCACAAAAAATATTTTAGAAATTTTAAGAATTCAAATAATACAAAATTCGATCTAAAATTACCATAAATTTATAAATAATTTATAATTGTAAATCATTACGTTTATAAATAAATATAAATATGAATAAAATATTACTTATAAAACAATATAAATAAATATCTCAAAACTCTCTCTTACCATCTTTTCTTCATCTTTTCCAGATCCAGAAAGAGCTCTCTTCCTCTTTCTATTTCTTCGTTTCGAATTTCTCTTCGTAGGCGAAATGAGCTGCTTTTCATACTCTTCATTGTCGTTGCAATTTGTCAAATTCAAAGGATCACAAATATTTGGAGGAATAATCACTTCGATAACTTCTTTTTTATGTTTTGGAGTAGGAAGTGGACTTGATTTTGGGGTCACTGCGTTCATAGCCCGATTTATTTCCTCATCTTGCATGCTATTTAGATTTAAGGGATCACAAATGTTGCCTCCAAGCAAAAATTTCGTGGGAGGGATGATGTCTTTATTCTTTCTACGTTTGTAGGGAGGAAAGGACTTTCCATTGCTGCAGAAGCTACTTTGAGGTCGCTTTCTATTGCTGAACTTGAAATAGCGATTGTCATCATGCTTGTTGTGTTTCTTGTGTGAGAGGTTGAAAACTTTCCTAGATTTTTCGTTCTCCTTCTTGTTGTTTTGACCCACTTTTGGAGGACGATCCACTTGTACAGAAGACATTTTGCTCAACCTGAAAAATTGGAAAAAATACAAACAATATGACAAGATGTAAACATGCCGATATAGAAAAACATAATAAAAATATAAGGATGGCATATTCGCCAGTAATAATATATAAGATGCTAATTTCCTTACATATACATATTAAAAAAATAAGGCGCGCGCGCGCGCGTGCGCTGCATACAGATAAATTAATTCATTGGAGAAAAAAACAAAAGAAATTACAAAAGTAATAATTACAAAAAAGATATCCAAAGTAATTAGATTAACTTTTACAAGGTATATGTAATCCTATGCAGTATTATTTTTTAATACTATATTTCTAAATAATAATTATAAATATATGACTCTTACAAAATATTATGTAAATATGATACATGTTTCCTACGTTATGGAAAAGGGAATAGAATATTTGTTGCAATTTCTTGAATATATACATTAACACACACCCGTGCATATGTTAAGAAACAAATTTAAATCGATACATTATTAAAATTAACTTGAATGAATAGATTTAGATGATAGAGACATAAATTAATAACTTAGTTATAAAATATTTCAGATGTAAATTTAAATATGTATATTTTTTAACAGCTAGGCAAGGAAATTTGTTCATATATATTATATATATTTATATTAATACACGTACTTTCATTTTATTATACTTAAAAACCAATACAATTAAAATAGTTAAAAAAAAAACGTAAAAAATTGATAAAAACAGCAAATGGAAATAAACTTTTTGCTTCTTACACTTTCTACACTTTTTCAATCGATCTAAAAGTACAGCTTGAGAGGAAAAATCTATTCGTCTTGCAATTAGTTACGCTTTCTATGATTGACGATAGTTGCATTTTTCGCATTTCGTCGTATTTACTCGCACTAGATATTCCCCGGAAGCTATTTGTCCCAAGAGGGAAGAAGAAAAATGTGGAAGAACGCAACTAAAATAAGCATAACTTTTCGTACTTTCTACACTAAAAGCAGGTAAGCAGGCAAGCAGGCAGGCAGGTGAGGCAGGTAAAATTTCTATCGTCCGCGTGGCGACGCCAGCGTCGTCGGTACGCGTGGGTACGCGCGGCAACAGCGTGGTGGGTGCGCTACCGCCGCCGCGCCGCTACTGCCGCCACCACCAGCCACCAGCCGCTATCGTCGCCACCGTCGCCATCGCCGCCGCCGCCGCCGTCGCTGCCGTCGCTGCCAACAGGCCGACAGCACGTCGTCAATACGCCATCATATTCAGCATCCCAGCTTTTCTTTTCGTCAATGTTCACGCCGCCGATTACAAATATGTATGCTCACCTCAACAAACGGATTCTCTCACCCGCCTCTCTCTTCCAATTGCTCGTATGACTATCCTCACGATAATCCTCTTCCTACGTCTCGCCCGCAACTGCGACGTTCATCGTCCATGCAACGCCTGCCCGTCTACGATGGCGAATAACTGCTTGTCGAGTGTGAGCGGGCAGCGGCGACCGAAAGCTCGCGCCGCACCGCGACGCCATTTTCCAATAGGTTCCACGACAGGGTCGTATTAACGAATCCCGGATCGTGGGAGACCCCGAAGCCCGAAAGAACGTTGAAGAAATTTCTTCATATTTTGTTTTCAATTTTCTAATTATTTTAATAATTTCAAAATTTCGAAGAAGAAACACTTTTAAATATCTTTTCGAAACAAAATACTAAGATTGACAATTGATAATTATAATTGATATAACGCCATAAGGTTAAAGAAGAACAAGCTAGAGATTGCCATTTACCTTTTTTACGCCCCTTGTGTCTTATAATTTAACATGTTAACATTTCATAGGATCGACACATTACGCAATGTATATATAATATTTATGTTCTATATCGTTATATTACATTATAATATTCCTAAACATGTTCCTTTTAAATGTTTTAAAACATGCATATCTGAGACACGTACCAATATCTCACGAACTCAAAACTGGATGAGACAGTGCTTGCTCTGATATAATACGTGTTTTGCTAAGATCTAGAAGTTTCATTAAACGATTGTATGCTTCCTTGGGGTATTCGATTTCGATATCTGGCGGTGCTTTAAGTTTTATAATAATTTTGAGACATCATAAAATAAGGAATTGTACATTGTACATTGTTGAAGCAATAAGGAGGAAAATTAGATATAAAGGTTTTATTTTCGCGGTAAAGACAACTCTATCAAAATGAGACTTTTGGCTGCGGTTCACTTAACATATACGCATTATGCGTTGTGCAGGAGTACATATAATATATGTTATCACTGGCATGGATAATCAAACCTTATTATAGTGAAAACATTTCTCTGAGGACGAGCGTGGCCTATTAGACAGCGCATTGGTCTATTGAGCCAAAGGTCCCGGGTTCGATTCCCGGTAGAGCTAGAAAAATTATATATATAAAAAAAAAAAAAATTATATTCGCTCGTTCTCCTCTCGGAAGGCAATGGCAAACCACCGAGAGTATGTATTGCCAAGAGAACTTCTCTAAAAAATATAGCCGTTCGGAATCGGCGTTAAACTGTAAACCCCATATACAATGTGTATAATCTACGTGCGCAACACATGGACGTGTACGACACGGTGGTCAGCCCGTTGTTGAAGAAAGTCATCGCCGGGTATAGTTGCACCGTGCTTGCCTGTAGCTGCTACGGCCAGACCGGCACCGGCAAAACGTACACGATTGAGGGTGATCACGCGAACAATCCGAATCTGCATTGGCAGAGCGACACGTCCGCCGGCATTGATACCCCGTTGTGTGAGCCACCTCTTTGACGAGCTGCAACTGCTGGTTCTCGTTCTGGTTTACAGTTTAATGCCGATTCCGAACGGCTATATTATTTAGAGAATTTCCTCTTGGCAATACATACTCTCGGTGGTTTGCCATTGCCTTCCGAGAGGAGAACGAGTGAATATAATTTTTTTTTTTTTTATATATATAATTTTTCTAGCTCTAATAGGCCACGCGCTGTCTAATAGGCCACGCTCGTCCTCAGAGAAATGTTTTCACTATAAGGTTTGATTATCTATGCCAGTGATAACATATATTATGTATATGTACAATCTGAAGTGTATCATTTGTCGTTAACGAACGCTCGCTCGCATTTGCAGCAAATGTCAACATTGTCAACTCGAACGAAAGAGCAGTTGCAGTTAGCAGCCGTGTTCATGCTCGTGTAGACCCCGACGACCCCGTCCCGGGTCCCGGTCCCCGGTCCGTTCAGTCCGTTGTCCGTTTAGCGTAGCGGATAGCGGTGGCGCCTCTTTTACGTGTTAAATTATCTCGATCGCACTTTTATCACCTATATCTTTCACTGAACACTGAAAAATCACGGATTGCGTTGTAAGATTTCGAAATTTTGCGAAGAATGGCCAAGAGTCGCGATAATCGCAATCGCGTAGATCACACGAGGCAAACAACGATACGGTTATTCGAAGACCAAGATCGCGAACACGACATCGTCGCGGAAGTTGGACGAACAACTCCACGGGTAAATCAGAATATCACCGAGTTTTGTCAAATTCATCTATCCTCAATTTATAGTAATTTAATTAGTATATATTGGTAATTATTTACTGACAAGAAAATTTAATCATGTAATCATTTAGTATTCAGCCGTTCCGCGATTTCAAAAGGTCTTTCCTCAAAACTTGCATCCTTCTAGGGTTCTTTCTCTTTCTCTCTCTCTCGCTTCGCTCTTTGAGATAGTTTTTGATGATAAAATATTTGCAATTTATGTCGAGCCAGTTACGTTAAATTACACGCTAAATATTGTACACACACATGAGCGCGCATGCGCGCTTAATAATGTATATTTTGCATAAATTGACCTTTCGAAAAAAATATAATCTTTTTTTTAATAATTAATCTTATACAAATTGAAAAAATTCAACTTATTAAATTAAATCTACAATCATACATCCGATTAGAATAAACGTTTAATGTTATTTGTATTTTCAGAACGGGGTATGGGCGAGTTCCTTGCTTCTCTCTTTAACACCCCAATTGTTTGTAACTTCCCCGACAACAACAATAAGAGCCACGCCTGTACCTCCGAACGCTCCCGTCAAACTAAGGAAGCCTTTCTCCAAAGAGGGTTTAAAACCTAAAAAGCTTCGTTTTACGGACAAAGATAAGGACGGAACGGAGGACGAAAACTATTCTAAGAAAAGCGCAGATTTTTTTATAAAAATGTCTAAACAGAAAGCAGAATTTCCCAAGCGACAGGGCAAATTGAAAGCAAGATTAGATTGCGATATGCAAGATAGCTTGAGTGCTATGTTGCAAAATGTACGATTTGAATTGGACAATAAGAAGAATATGCGATATGGACAAGGACAATATGAGAAAAGAGCGAAAAATAACAAAGATTCTTCGCAATCGTCAAAATTAAACTGCAGTCCGAAAGGTGAATTTATACACTTTCGTATATAAACTGCTGGGAGAAATCGATTATTACAGTCATTAGACTAGCATAGTATTAATAATAGTAATAATAATGATGATGATGATGATGATAACGACGGCGATGACGACGACGATGACAACGACAACGATGATGACAATGACGATGATGGTGATGGTGGTGGTAGTGGTAGAGATATTGATGATGATGATTAAATCGGTGTATTTATGAATTAATAAGTTCATTGAGTATTAAAAAGTTACTCAGTATAATATCACAATGATAATAATTAAATCAGTACATAAATAATAATATATTAATTAAATATTCTTTAATTATTAAATCGCAATGATTATTGTGTATAGGATCAGTATATCCAATGATTAATTAATTGTCAGTATCATAGTACATGATTGTTAAAATAGTGAAAATGTATAAAAACTGTAAAACTCGTAAAATAATATATAATACATTTTCTTGTAACAAGCTGTAATGTAATTGTTATTATATTATGATTTTTATGTGAATAAATAATATGGATATAATTATAATTACATATATAACATATGTAGTATAAGAGCACACATTTATTTTTAAAATCAAATAATTATATTGCGGATGCAAGGATAGTAATAAACATATAATACGTACGCGTGCACACAAATTTTTTCCAACGTCGAGATTTATTATGCTTATCGATATTCAAAGTTTACTAATTCTTTTGAACGCTTTATTTTATATGTTTTAATATTGTTCAAGAATCAATCAAAAAAACAAACTAATAACAAGATTTGTCAACGTGCAAAAAATTTATTTTTTTTTCTTTTAGGTCTCGAAAGCTGTCCTACCATATTGTCGCCATGTAAAGATACATGGAGTAAAGAGGAGAAATTATCATGGTTACAACTACGAAGAGACGTGGGTAGATGGATTCAGTGCTGTAGGAAAAACTGCAAGAAATGGCGATACTGTGATGATTTCCATGACCCTGTGGATGTACCAAAGACTTGGTATTGCGAAATGAATTCAAGCACGTATCCATTACTGTGTTTTACGTCTACACAATCGATACATATATATATTAAGCTATGTTATTACTCGAGTAATATTGTACTATTTATATAGCATAGCATATTATATATAATGATATATATGTGTGTGTGTGTGTATACATATGCACACACACACACACACACACTTTAAATAACAATAGAAAATATAAACACGTTTATAGATAAAACTATCGCCTCCTGTTCCGTACCGCAAGTGCCAATTCCGATGAAAATAAAGACAGATTTAATAGAAAATAAATATAATGCCGGAAGTCTTGTATGGGGTCTCGTGGATGGTTATCCATGGTGGCCCGCAATTGTAGATGATTGGATTGAGACTTTACAGTTTTATGAATTAAAAGAATCATCAATAATTCCTGTAAGTTCTAGAAAATACAAACACATATAAAGACCTAAACAAATATAAATAAAATTTTATTAATGTATAAAATTTATATTTATTTACTAAGTTTTGCACTATATTTTGTCCTTAATTGTTTATATTTCTTTGTAAAATATAATCAAACAACGAATGCTTTCGCAGGTAAAATACCATGTAACCTTCTTTAAAGATAATCTTCATTGTGAGTGGCTTAATCGAAAAACTATCAAACCTTTTATAAAATTTAAAAAGAGCACGCTTGTGAGAAAGGTATAATAGCTTTTTATCTAAAAATTATTTCAAATAGCTAAAATTATTATTATTGTCTTTTTATCAATTTATAATAATATATAATCTTGTTATTTTTCTCTTCTTTGGACTTTTATTTATTTATGTTTTATTGTTTAAGCAAAATAAATTCAATGAAATAAATCATAAAAAATCGCTGGAAAAAGCTTATGCCTTAGCACAAAGCGCGATTCCATTATCGATATCCGAGAGGTTACAAAGATTTAGTTCTTTTTCGCGCATAAGAAATTTGCAAGGATCTGTGATTCAATCGTACGAAGAGCAGGATGATGAAATTTCTTCCACACCAACCGAGTCAACTGAACATATTACCTTAAAAGAATTTTATCTTAAAAATAAACATTACACGAAAAACAAATTTTTATAAATTAAAAATATTTACAAACATATGTTTATATCTCTTCTTTTTTTTTCTATTCTACTGTATAAAGATAAGTTTTGTAAATTATTAAAAATTAAAAATTTAATAAAATATTTTATTTAAAAAATAAATCACTGTCAAGTTTTCTAATTTGTATTTATTGTTAATTTAGAAATAAAAAATCTTGAGAAAAAAATTTTATAATTATAAAACAAATCGTTGTGCTATAGTAATCATATATCGATACGTATACCGTATCGAAATGTCGATACAACAGATTAAATAACATATACATTTTTAAACAAAAAAATTATGTGTTTTTCAACTCCTACATTTCTCACTTTTTCAATATCTTTTTCCGTTTCAGACAGCCTTTAAATTTACGAATATATCACATTTTAATTTTCTAGAAACAGAACAATATGGTGAACGTTTCAAAAATAAGAAATCTATTTTATCGATTGATATGAAAACCGACAAATTAATTCGTTCACGTAGTTGATAAGAAACGTGTAGAACAGAGGGCGAAACTTGAACACGAATTGCTCAAAGCACATCACAATTGTTATTGCAAATAACCCACATAATTAAGAAAAGAGAGTAAGGTATTGTACATATTCCAAATAGTCATATTTCTTTTGAAGAAAGAATAATAGAGAGAAGAAAATGACAAATTATTATGACCATTTATGACAATTTTGAAAAGATTTATAAAATCGGCATTATTATATATAATTTAAAGTAAAAAAAATCAAAGTAAGTTAAATAAAAATGTGATAAAAAATGTAATATATAAGGATAGAAAAGAATTTGAAAAAAAATTGAAAAAAGAATTATTTAAATAATTGTTATTTATATATACTTTAGAAATTAAGATTTTCTGAATATTTGTTCTTCTCTTTCTAAAATTTACAATTCATACCTTTGTACGCGCGCGCATACTGCCGTAGTAGTGTAGATACAACTGAAAAGTATTACAATAACTTACAAACTTGCAAAATTGTAATCCTTTAAAGTAACGTGTTTGTGGGGAGGATATTTATATAATAGTTCCAGAGGGTTACATTGCAATTTTGCAAGTTTATTTAGGAGCAACAATAGGAATAAAAGATTAAATTATAATATTACTGAGTTATAATGTTGGGATCGTTATAGTTACGATATAGCTTTCTTTCTCTCTCTCTCTCTCTCTGGTACACCATCAAATACTAAAATAACAGTAGGAAATGAAATAAATATATATACTTATGTGAAAATAAAAAATGTAGTTACAATATATTTTTTATTGGTGCCATCGATACATGTATGTACGTAGACAGCATATTATACTAGCTCGCCGAACAACGGTGAGACGCGGTATCCGCTGACGTCACGATGACCCGGCGCGACCCCGATGAACCCCGGCAGCGATATTAACATAGCGATTTACAATTGCTTATACGCGCGTACAATCGGTTGATTTCCGCTCATTGACTCTCTTTTTGCGTATCCATTTCATGCGTTTTAATAAATCCGTTATTAAGGCCGTCTTCGAAACGGATCTACGAAGCGCGAATAAATATAAAATAAACTAGCTATATCGGGTTGTTGTATATGAAACATTGCATCCTGAGAGTTCCCGTTTCAAACGACACAATAATAATTTAATTACAGCCTCTATAAGCAAGACGAAAAGAAAAGCGCATATATGTAATATATGATAACGTTTCATAAAATCTGTGTTCGGAATTGAGGGAATTTATTTTTCCTCATCCAATTCTCATTTGAGCAAACTTTGAAACGCCAATTAGAAATTCTTTCCCTGCGAAATGTAATTTTCCATGGAAACGGAAATGATACGTACGACAATCTAAGGCACACAATCTAAGGGCCACGCCCGTTTATAAAGGGAATGGCCAAACGATGTAGAAGAGAGGTCCTCTCTTTGACTATCTTTCTCTCTTTTTGCCATCGATCCTCTATCTATGGCACTCCCATGTTTGTCAACCGACCTACGCCCCCATCATCACACAGTTTCCAAACTACACGCAGCTACAATCAATCGATTCAAAGAACAAAACCGCTATAATAATATGTATATCCCGTTATAAAATTCAATTCTTTGTGCTCACACGTTATGCGAAAATAAAATACAACATACAACATGCATTATAATAAGCGTTACAATAATATGTTACAATATATAAAATTAATCGAAAGCTATACGTCTCTTTGCAATAGATTTCTTTCGAAAGATTTCTAATATATGTTTTCTCTTATAATCTTGTCTTTGCTGATCCCCCGCCCGCGTCAACTTACATAATAAAAATATTCTCATAGTAAAAATGCTTATACGGATACACCGAAAATTGATTGTTACGCCATTGGCGTTAGTCGCGTTGATCTCGAGCGAACGCGTTTACAAAGCGTAATAAAAAAGGGGAGCTAATTATAGTTGCGGTCTATCTTGGAGAACCGAGGGGGCGAAAGAGAACACGACGACAAAATGAAAATGAAAAGTACTTGTAGCAGAGGAAGAGAGAGGGAAGGGTGTAATCTTTTCGAGTGTCGCGTATCCTATCAATAAGGACCGTACGAAGCAGCTTATTGAGAGAGCCCGCACACTTTTCTTCCATATTGCATCATACCATTATTGCAATTATGTCTTTTTTTTGTATAATACACATGTCGTTTTTATATTATATTTTTTTTACGAAAGATCTTAAAAATCTTGTAAAGAAGTTGAAACCACGCGTACATATATACACGTGTTGTCCTTATTTTCTAAACATCTCAAACTCTTATAAGTATCTATTATTATTACTATATACAAATTAATCTTAACGTATATAAGTTTTTTCTAAATTAAAATATATTGATTCTTTATCAAAGATAAAAAAAATATATATTTTGAGATCGTAATTAATTTAAAAGTTAAGAGAGACAAGTGTGATAACTCGATTTTTCGAGACAATGATATAGAATAACGAGATTTTGGCCGTAAAATCTCACAATCTCTTATGCTCGCCTAGCAACACGATTTCAAGTTGAAGTCACGGGAGCATGTGATAACGCGAACGCGTGTACCCGGGCGAGCATATCTCGGGTTATCGGTTTTTTTTCGGTGACAGCAGTAAGTAGCGAGTGAGCGCGGAAAGTGTATGATTAGCTATGCGAAGGAGATCACGCGGCTGGACCATAGGACCATAGGTCATCCCGGGCGAGAGATAGATTCGAGACGATCCGCCATCAGATCGAATTGACCGCTTTTCATTTGAAATACAATAATATATGTATACATTAATGGAGATTATTATTAATACGAGTAGATGGAAAAGTCGCACACAGTCATGCACACGCACATGTCACATGTGCATGAAAAATTAATGTGTAAAACAATGAAACACTCGGAACAATATATCTATTCGCAGAAAATTATTATTTTTTTGTTGTATAATAAATAAATATTTGTAAATTATTTCATAGAATTTTTGTTGCACTAATCTCTCGCGCGCGTGTAGTTAATATAATGTATAGAAATAAAAGATTTTAAAGGTATGTCCTTTATTAGAATTTAAACGCTATTTCGGCATCTACTATATAAGAAGAAAAAAAGAAAAGAGGAAAAGAGCAACGGAAAGAAGAAGAAAAAAGAAGGAAAGAAAAGGAAAGTTTAGGAATAAATACTACGTCGTTCTCTAAATACTACGTTATCGTTACTTGGAAAACTACCATGAAGAATATACATATAGCGGTCAATGCCGTCGCCTGGGTACTATTAGTCGAGACGCCTCTGGTATATTTTCGTCATGGCCTACTAATACACTTTACGAAGTAACTCTCGTCTTGAATCATTCCTCTGTGGACTCTGATAACACACAAAATGTTGGAAAATGCTATTATGTCCCAAAAAGATTAGCACGTGTCTCATACATTTTAAATCGATATATATATATATGATATATTACGTATGATATATTACATAACGATAAATGGTATATAATTTGAAACGGAAAAGAAATTAGGAAAGTGCGGCAAATGTATAATTTGCAAGTTTTCTTTGACACATATTTGTTAAAAAGGAAACAAATAATATATTTTGAGTTCGATAATCAAGGAGCTCGTCGTTGATGTTAAAATCGTAAATTGTGAAGTAACTCATTTTTCTGTATAATGTATATTATTATTATCGTAATGCCCGTCAAATATTTAAGTATCTCAAATATTATTTCTGCCAAGGATTGTCCATTTGAGTTTTACGTTTTAACGTCTTGGCAGTTTATCGATGACCGTCTTTCAAACGGTCTTTGTACAGGGTGCGACGGATAGGTAGAAGTAGAATTACAGAATCACGCGCGCTTCCATATATTCATGAACACAGTCGCTCGCATAGGAAAAGTGCATTTGCATGTGAACAGTGCGGGTCTCTTCGGGTCGGCAAATATCTGACTTTGTTCAACGTATAATTAATTTCGAACATAAATCGTGTGTTTTTCCATTATATTATTTTAAAGACAGAGAACCCTTGTCCGTTATTTCTCAACATTGTGAGAAATTTAT